ACAGCCTCTGCAGGGCCAGTTCGATCCCTGGCCGCCGAACGAGGGTCCCACATGGCACACAGACCTCTCCTGCTGCGCCTGCTGCTCCCCTCAGCAGTGTACTTCGTCAGTCTGCCTGTTCTGCTCCCTGCTCTGGCTCTGGTGAAATCTCTCACCCTCCCGTGCTTCTGACTGTACCCAGTGCTTGTATAAATAAATAAATACATCTTTAAAAAAAGAAAAAAAAAAGAAAAACCTTAAAACCATGTTAGGAGGGCTTCTGGGTATGGCCAATACATCTTCCAGAGCAGAAAGCAAAACATTCCCTTCCCAGGTTCTGACCCATGACCCCAACCAGAAATTGCAAATCCTTCAGTCTCTGCCTAAAGCTGGGGGCTGGCAGTCTTCACCTCCCGCACCCCCTCCCTCCTCCCTTTGTTTATAATCAGGATAGAGCATCTGAAAGCTGTGGACCTACATTTGCTTTCTCTGCCAGCTAGTACCAACCTCGCCATTGAGTGCGATTTCTCTTGGCTGCCAGCAAACTGAAGATATCTGGGTTTTGGCATGTAGAACAAGCTTTCCTCTTAATCACTTCCCTCTTGTAACTTGGATTCTTATTTAAAGGCCCTTTTGCATGGATTATATTATCATATGAGTGAGCCTTAATCATTTACGTTGAGGCCTTAAAAAAGAAAAATACTAGTTTCCTAATCTATAAAGTAAAAGCTCTGTCATACCTGCCTCCAAGGAGTGATTCAAAAGCAGAGTGAGTGCACAGCACCTAGTACAGCAGATGCTGTGAGAGATGTGATCAGACTACAACATTCATACATTTTTAGCACATCACGAATTCATGTCCAAAGCAGCATTATGGACATTTCCAGGGCAAGAATTTTTCATTGAAGTTATACTTCACAACCTACTAGATTGCAAATTGAATTTATATTACCATGTAAATTATATTTGAACGATGATATTTAAAATAAAACCATGCATACTAAGAGACACTAGAAAGAAGGAGAAAAACCCACTTGTAGGATTCAACAGAATTAGTTGCTGAACATGAGCTTGCAGTTCAGCTTTGTGTTTTCTGTCAGCCCATGCAGAAAGAAGATCCTGTTAACTTGCATGACTCTCATTGTCTGGTAAAGGGACGTGGAGCTCATATGGAAAGTGAATCCTTCTCCTGACATTTGGATTTAAGGGCAGCAGCTCACCCTGATCCTCAGATGTGCTGGGTAGGTAACCAGAGGGCCACACTTCCACGTAGCCACGTGCAAAGGCTGACACCCACCCATTCGAGGAAGGGAGGCCAGTGGGTGAGCCCCCCAGGGATTTTCAGGGCCTATGTAGAGGGGTCCTCTAAAACTGTCAACAAGAAATGTTGCAGAGCAGAGGCCCACTGCGGGGTGCATTGAGATAGTAGTGTACCCTATCTTAGTTCACACAGACTTGAGGACTGTGGAGTTGAATTGCTCCACTCTAGTTCAAAACATGCAGCAGCTCCTGGGGTTTGTATACGTGAAGTGGCCTGGCCAGCCTTTTCAACCCTCTGCACAGCCTCACCAGCTGCTCCCAGTCCCAGTGACAAGTGAGCCCTGGATGGGGAGAATGTGGCTTCATCCTGGTGGGATCTCTTTCCAAATGCTTGTGAATAATCAGAGACAACAGGCTGCCCTGGGAAAACTGTAATCACCCAACCACAGGGGCAAGGCCAAACACTAGCAGGATTTATTGGCTTTGATTAACAATAAGGTGTTTGTTTTTGTAGGTAATTAGAGTTCAATAGCAAGCTATAAAGAGTCCTCCTAAGAAATTCTAAACAGACTGTAGCTAAAGGCTACTAAAGTATAACTGAATCTATCCATTCATCTTTGCAGACCTCCTGGGCTAAGAGGCCAGTGTTTGATCTGGCACAGCCAAGCAGGTCATCGGGGAGAAAATGACCTGACGTGTTTTTAATGTCCAAGGAGAAAGGCCTCTGTGTAGTATGTGAGCCCTGGTGCCGAATGCTGCCTTGGGATATTGCAGTTCGTATAAACACGTCTATTCCAAGATCCATAACAACCTGCAAGTTGGGGGCTATTTTGACAGCTCAGCATTCTCACAACCATTAGGTGATTGACTTCCAGGCACTAGGACAGCCCGGTGGGTCATCTGATCGGGAGAAGATGTTTGCAAAGCCTTTTGATTTAGGCCTTCTCCTCCCTAGCAACCACTCTTGGGTATAGGGTTTTTAACAACTCAGAGCTATGACTATCACTTTGATTACAATTCATTTTTAAAAGTATTTCTATTTCTACATCGCATAGGTAATATAGTATGGGCAAAGTGCTGTCACCAATATTTTAAAAATATCATCCAGACGAAATACCTGTACATAGAGATGATTGGCCCTCTCTGTCTTCCCCAGTCCCTGGGTCAATAACATGCCAATTTCTCCTTAAGCCTCAGGAAATATATAGTTATTTCCACTCTTCTACTCGCATCATGATATCCCCTATTCCTTCTTCCGGAGGAGTGAAAAAAATTTAAAAAGGGCCAGATAAACAAAATAAGACCCAAAACTAAAGCCTCACATGTGGCTCACTCTGGAGGAAAACAATTGCTCTTGTCCTCCCATGAAAGATCAACTTTCCGCTTGCAGAAGTTAAAGATTGAGGGTCTTGTTATGTAGGGCATTAGAAAAAACTTTACAGTATATACATGTATATTTTCCCCCCTCCAAGGACTAATTTCCATTTACTTACGTTCTATCCAATGCAATATAAAATTTCCCCTGTTTTGCATGCCTTGGCCTCCTTGATTTATTTTTTAATCTCTTAAGCAGTCACATCACGATTTTTCCTTCAGAGATGCTGTTACAGGGCAAACCCTGATATAAAATGGGGTTTCCTGACTGTGGATCCTCACCCACATGCTTAAAGGGGACTTATGAATGCTAAACTGCAGACATACACAAAAGGTTGATAAAAGGTTTACTTGCAAGGGAAGGGGAATGGGGAAATGAATAACTAAGGGGGAAAAAGAGGGAGATAAGTTTGTAAATGCGTCCTACCTGTTCCGCTGACCTGAAATCCCAAGGATCCGCTGAGCTGGCAAAAACCTAGCGTGCCTCGTGGCCAAGAGGGCAACCCTCCAGCCACATGGCCAGTTAAATACCCAAACCGAGAGCCTAGTTGCTTAACTCCGCCCTCAGGTCCTGCAACCTTCCCTTTGGTGATCATGGGATTTGTAGTTCCCAGTGTCGTAGGGGTGGAGTCCACAAAGCCTGTGTGGAGTTTGCTCAGGACATCCTTCACCCCTATCAATACCTATGACAAACAGCTATTCCAGGAGAAAGAGAAGACCCTCAGGCACAGTTCTATTGTTTGCTGATTTTCTGTTTATATATTGCTGATTTTCTGTTTATACTGATTTTCTGTTTATATATTGTTTGCTGATTTTCTGCCATCTGAGACTTCCTGAAGGCGATCTCCACCCTGGACCAGTCGTTGGAGCCCTCTGACTCTGTTTCCTCCTCTGAAAAACCAGGAGGCTGCCTCAGGTTCTCTCTACAGCTTTGGGCTCCAAGGCTGTGTGGTTATTTCCTCCTGAAAGTAGGACTTTGCACATGTAAAGGAAAGAGCTGTTAGTCCTTGAAACTCAGACGCTGCTATTGTACACTCAGGAAGTTAGTTTGCCACTGGCTGGGGGGAAAAAGTCAACATTATAAAGGCCAATCCCATGATTTAAATGACAGAGTGAATCAAAGATCTGCCAACCCAGGAAGGGAAGCCACCAAAGAAGACACCAAGTAAACCTCTTCCCTTTATAATGTGCGCTTTGAGAATAGATAACGGGCATTGGAAGCAGGGGGTGTGAAGTTCAGGACTTCTAGAAGGGCATGGAATGAAAGGCTTCCAGTGAAGAATCCAAATAAATGAATGATGAAAGCCCCAGAGCACATGAAAAATGACAGCCCCTGCAATTCTTTTTTTTTTCTTTTGTATCTTCTATTGTTTCTTTTGGCAGTGTCTTACAGTTTTCATTGAGTATGTCTTTCTCTTCCTTTATTAGATTTATTTTTAGGTATTTAATACTTTTTGAAGCTACTTTATTTTATTTTTTATTTTTTATTTTATTTTTATATTCCCCATATAATTGCAACCCCCTTATTTTGATCCCAATCCCTCCTTTCCCTGTCCCTCCAATAGTGTGTCTCTGGTTCATAGTTGTTTGTTGATTTTGATTTTTACTTTCTTATAGTTATTTTTTCCTGGTCCCTTATTTAGGTTTTCTAGATTCCTGCTATGAGTGAGACCATCTGGTATTTTTCTTTTTCTTTCTGGCTTATTTCCACTGAGCATGATCCCTTCCAGCTCCATTCATGTTGCTGCAAATTGCATGTGTTTATCTTTTTTGAATGCTCAATAATATTCCATGGTATATATGTACCACATCTTCTTGATCCAGTCATCTGTTTTTGCAGCCCCTGCAATTCTGACACAGCCCCGCACTTTCATATTCAGCATCACCAAGACAACTTTTCTTTACCATGATACATGCAAACAGTACAGAACATTTGAGTGCCCTGACTAATAAGTTCACTATGTAAAACAGAAAAATATGGTTGCAACAGGGAAGGATGGAAGGTATTCCAGCCTGCCAGCAGCCCTTACCCCCCATTGCAATGGCCCCCACAAGGGAGGCTTTGGGGAATACTTTGAAAACCATTGGAAAAATTCTCATAAATAACTCTCATAAATAACTTGAAATGCTGGGTCTATAATAAGCTACATTGAAATGTTTACCTAAAAAGAATAGATACAAAGATTCAGTTAGCATTTCACCTCTATAGATCTGTCTTTTAAGTCATCTCTTGGGTTCCCTACCCGGTTGGGCTCGCTCACCTCCGCCCTTATTCTGGAAGAAGCCAAAACATCCTGTTTTAGAATGCACAGAGTCCAAGTTAAAAGAAAAACCATGTCTTCGGAAAGGAACAGGGGGACGCAGGACAACGCAGCATCAATACTTACTTGTGGCCCAGCTCATGGGCAATGGTGAAGGCCAGGTTGAGCCCGTTGTCCTCGGCGAGCACACACTTCCGCTTAGCGCTGCAGACGCCTCCCAAGTAAGCGATTCCTACAGCAGAGACACAGAGCATGTCCTCTTCAGAAGGTGGGTGGCCCTGACCACTCTGGGCAAGTCCACATGGTCAATACTAGGCACAATCAAAAAAGGGCACACTGGGACGTGACGACCACAGGGCTGGACCTGTGGTTCCAGAGCTCAAAGTGGGGGCTGGCTGGGGAGGATGTTTCAGTGTCCCCTGATATTAGCCCCACCAGCCTCTCTCAAGCATTGAATAAACACCAGGTCACATGCTGGCAGTTTGGCCACATTATCTAATATGCTCTCCTTGCCCAGGATGGAGGTATCAGCCACGCAGAGGCTGGGAGAGGAAAGTGAGCCTTCCTGAAGTCACCTGGATTGACAGCTGTGCTGGGACACTAAGCCAGAACTGTCTAACTTCGAGACCAGTGCTGAGACCACGTGAGGCCAGCAAAGCGAGGCACCCACACTGCAGAGTTAAAAGAGGGTTTGTTTTGCTCACAGGTGCTGCCGGCCCTTGCATGGCCCCTGGCAGGAGGTCTCCTTGCATTCTGCAGCCTGGGCACCTCTGCCCCCACCCAGTCCCAGCCCTTGTTAGCCTTGATACTCTTAGGGTGTAAGCTTGGACTGGGGCTGGGGTTCTCAGAGAGCAGGCCAGGGAAGGCTTGTACAGAATGTTCAGGAAAATGCTTCAGGAGCCCTGGAGTGAGAAGGGGACCAGGACCCACAGGGACAGAGAGGAAGTGAGAAGAGGTGGGGCTGGGAGCCATGGGTGAGGATGAGCCCACATAGGGACTCGCTCCTCCTTACACACACCTGATTGGGGAAGGATCCTCTTTGAGGCAGGAAATCCAACTGAAGCAGCCAGGAGGGATGTAGGCGTGAGGTAGGCATGGGGTGAGCAAAGGGCTGATACCGAGGATGACAGTTTCTAGGAGGAGAAAGGCTACCCTGGCAGTGATGTGTGTGAACTTCATGGGGCTCCAAATGGACGGGCAGAGCTGAGGAATGTGGGACTATCTGCCATGCGCCAGTCACATATCCAGGCTGAGCCCCTGTCCCCAGAGCCCCCCATGGCCCAAGCAGCCCCCACACTTCCTCTTAGCTTCTGCTGTCTTGGCACCCAGGACAAACAGCTCTATCTTGAGCAGATGACCCCAGGGCTTGTCTCAGCAGTGCCCCCGGCCAAGTGACCAGCTGGACAGATGAGTCCATGGAGCCCTAAGACTTGGGACAGTCACTCGAGTAATGATTGGAATTGTCTGCACCCCCATCATTGCCAGTGGTAGCTGACGTCTGAATGCACCTGGGGAAATGCATGAATGGGTGGTGGCACCAGGTGGCTGGTGGGTCACAGGCCCAAGGAGGCTCAGTGCTCCCCTTATGGTGAGATCACAGGGATGTGGAGCAGACAGTGGCCTGCTGGCCGGGCATGTGCCATGCAGCAGTGTCGAGTGGTCAGCCTGCCTCTGCCTATAGGCCCTGTGTGGGAGGTGGTGGCCACAGAGCGGGGCGCCTGTTCTCCACCCACAGACACAGTCCCCCACCGAGCTGCCCCACTGGGAGGGCCCCTTTCACTAAAGCATACAAGGTATCTCAGGAGCTGACAGTCTCAGGCACAGGAGACAGGAAAGAAGGAGCGGGTGGAGGAAAAGGAACCGGGAATTAATTAAAAAAGAACTTCCCTCCTTCTCACAAATAGCTAAATCAACATCCTCACTTGACATCAAATTCAAACCCCAACCCCACACGGGGTCCTCCCTCCTCGTGCAACCACTGCAGGAGGTGCTCACCAGCTTCTGCTCTGCAAGGAGATTGCACCGGGAGCTCAGCTCCCCAAGCCCGCACCACGCTACGTGTCTATTTATTTGGAAACATGCAGTGTGCTCAGTCGAGGTTAAAGAATTTTTTTTTTTTAAAAAAGGGAAAAAATGTCATTTGGCTTTAAGAAGCTTTTCTGTGCACTTGGACACCATCAGCCAGCCTCACCGACGACTGGCAGGAGAGCCATGACAAGCAGCAAGGACGCTCTCCGGCTTCCCGGTGTCTTCAAGGTCATTATTCTGGTTTTGTTTAAAAATGCTTTGTGGGTTGCTGCAAAAAGTCCAGCAGTGAGTAGGTGGAATGTGTCTACATAGCCCCGATGGTATGTGCATGCACACACGCACACACTCGGACGCACACCCAGCGGTGCCCTCCCAGCCCAGGCTACAGCCTCCTGGGTCAATGAATCAATTAGAAACAATCAGATGCTGGAGCAGGCGTCTGGGGAGGGAGAGGGGGAGGGGGAGAGGCAGACTTGGAAGGCCAGCTGTGCTGGGTCTGCCCTCCCAGGAGAGCCTGCTGATCCAGCAGACTTAAAATGCCACACAAACACGTCCCCTGGTCTCAGCCACACTCAGCCCCAGCAGTCCCGAGTTTCCCCTCTCATTAGGTAACATTGGAAGCTAGAGAACCAGCGAAGCAAAGAGCCTTTCCATAATTGCATTTTAATTTTTCCAAGCCACAGATGATTTTTTTTTTCTTTTTACTAGAAAACAAAAGATCAGTCTATTTACATGAAATGCCCTCCCACCAAGGTGGATTAAGGTCTAGTGCTTTTAATGATTTATTCCAATCCTGAATTGCTTGGTCATAAAACTGAGCAAGGCCAAATGCATAAAAGAAAATGCGCTCCCCCCCACCTCCCCATAACAGCACAGGAGCCGAATGCATTTATGAGGGACGGTATGGAAATGCTTAGAACTCGCAAAACAAAGTCTGGAGAAAATCCCAGGTTGTTGTAAAAGTAAGAGCTGCAGGGAATGAAAGGCAATTAAGCTAGGAGCTTCAGCAGAAAACAAAGCCCACCTCTATGCCTGGATGTTTCCTGGAAAGAAAGCTGCTATGGAAGGGCATGCTGGGGCCAGGAGATGCCTGGTCCCCTCTGGCTGTGAAAGCTCCAGCCTAGAAAGATCTAGCTGATGTTCCCGGTGCTTGTCGAGATGCGAGGAAACCCACTTTTTTCTATATGGATTCCTTTTATGATAACATGAGTCTGTGAACACACGTTGGGCTGCAGTCAGTGGACAGCGTGCTCCTGCTGGGAATTCCCTACACCGACAAGGAGGATTTCTCAGGCCCTAGGGGGGAGCCTCCAAAGGGTTCAACTCCACCATTTAAAATTCCACCCAAAAGAAATCAGAGGAGAGCTCAGTTTTGAAAATTTAAAAACATCAATTCCACATGTTCGCAGAGTTCCTTGGAACAAAAGGGAGGCAGAAAGGCCACTGGCATCTGTGCGGGCCCCCTCCCCAGGCAAGCACAGCTCTGCAGACTTTGTCCTCCCTGACTTGGCAGGTGTGCCTGGCCCCGTGTTATGGACGGAAATGGAGGCTCAGAAACCAGTGACGTGACTAATCGGGGCCCACGCTTGGATAAAAAACAAAGATTCTCTTCCTCCAACACCTACATGCCTCCAGGCAAACCCTGGGTATCCCTCACCCAAGTCTGGGTGACCAGCAACAATGAATAATCTTAGAGGATTGAGCAGATTTTTCATAAATCTTAATGTGTGTTTATGCAGAGACATGGGTGGGAAAGAGTACAGGTTGCGTGCATTTAAGTGCAAATGCTTTTAATCCTAAAGATAAAAAGACTTGAGGGAGAAACATAATATTACTAGCAGTTACCTCCACGACACAGTGGAGTCACTACAGACCTTTTTAATTTTCTTTCTTTTTTTAACTTAAGTCTAATAAAATGAATATGTACTTAGTAGGAAAATTAAAGTTATTGGTTATGTCTCATTTATCCAAGATGACATATGGAAGAGGTGGGAGGCCAAAAACACCCCAACTCTATGGACTTGGGCTTCCTCTGCGAGCAGACACATAGGATGTTCCCTGTCAGCACATAATGGAGCGTGTGTCTGTGCCCTAACAGCAAATCACTCATCTCTACTGCACCCCTGGCACAGAATAGGGAAGCAAAACATACTTGTGAAATGCTGAGGGTAGAAATGAAGGGTTCCAGAGAGTTCTCCTGAGGCCCACAGAAAAGTACCTAACTCATCTAGAAAAGCAGACCACCAGGGCCCCTGGCCCATCGGCCCAACTGTGTCAACTCAGCATGGACACCCTCTCGTTTTTGGTGGGAACACAGTTTTGGAGAGGAACCTGAATGAGGAGGTTTAATTATTTTCCTTTTTCAGTAGAAAACTGCATGGTGTAAGCAATTAAGCTTTCTATTCAGATTTGACCATCTGATCCTTTCTAGACTTAAGGAGTAAACAACACACAACTGTATAAACTCTGGTTCATCCAGCAAATTGTCATGTGTAAACAGTTTGCAGCTGTTGGCCTTGTTGCCCATTACTCAGACCTTCTTGGGCTCTCCCTATGCGAAAAAAACAGTTGAGTTTCTCCCACAGACCGTGCAAGGTCCCAACACCCTCATGATTTCCACTGGGTCACCACGCTGACTGTGTTCGCCGGGCAGTCACAGTGCTGGGAACAGTGAGGGCATGGGTGGCGCATTCAGGTTCATCAAAAGGTCCCTGCATTCTCCTCAACTTCACTACGTGGTTGTAGGTGATCTGAATCTGTGAACAGCTTTTAAGAGAAAATGTCTGAGAGTCTAGGATGTGACAAATGAAAAATAAACTACAGTCAGTTCTCATTACTCATGACCGTCAGATTCTATAAAGTCACTGTAAACACCGAATTCTCCAATAGAGAAGCATTACTCCTGGGCTATTCAGGGCTGGGGTCCTGTGAGCCTCTGTTGACACCCTCCCCCAACGATCATGTTACATGTGTGCTTGTTACATGTGTGCTTCTGTTCAGATACCTTCCATCATATATAGTCACATATGGTCAGTAGCAATAACTAAACAGCACTTCAGTGATCTCCTACGCAGCAAACTCACCTGTAAAAAGCACCAAAACACAAAGAAACCATGGCACTAGGTAGATTGTGAAAGGAGGTCTGTTTGCACGAGGAGAGCTGAAACCAGAAGCCGGCGCTTCGCCTTGCTCGGCCCAGAGCGT